TTTATTTACAAAGTGAGTATAATGATAATTGTCTTTCAGAACACAAGACTTTTCACACAAAACATATATAGAACTTTGATACTACTACAACCTAATAACTGTAACTGCTCAGCTTTATTCTTCGGAATCCTGGGATTTGTAGTTTGATGAGTCGCTAATCTGAGAATTCTAAATACCCCTCCCTAAATTGCAACTAAACATCTAATGAATTGTATTGTTGAAGGCTTTCATGGCTGGAATCACTAGGTTGTTGTAGGTTTTTTGGGCTATATGGCCAAGTTCCAGAAGCATTCTCTCCTGACGTTTTGCCTGCATCTATGGCAAGCATCCTCAGAGGTTGTTAGACCTCACATCTAGTCTTTGGATTTTCCTGAAAATCATTTCATGTGTCTCTACATGCCAAGGATTTCATTATTCTGAAATGACATCGCAACATCTTGCACACTTAAAAACGCTGTTTTCCTTAGCAGGCAACCTAAGAATATCCCTTGGTTTCCTGAGGGACTTAAGTTATAAATCTCCCTTGCATACATAGAATGAATGACAAGAAAACCTTTAATTTCCTTCCATCTTAAAAGCGAAACCTTATCGTTATCTTCCCTCTACAGTAGTATCTCATGAAGATTTCGACTACTGTTTTGAGGTTGGACAACACTTCTCACTAATTGTACTTCCTTCCTCTCTTCATTCTATTTTTCTGTTACCAGGTTGCTCTAAGTTTTTCAGGCTGTATGGCCATGTTCCAGAAGCATTCTCTCCTAACGTTTCGCCTGCATCTATGGCAGGCATCATCAGAAAATTTCAGAACTCTTAACAAAACTTTCAACATTTTGTTATAAATGGCAGTTCCTAGTTGGTTCTGTCATAAAAATCGCCAATAATGAAATCTGGAAAATTTTGTTAGAATTGTGAAATTTTCACCACCAGTACTTTAGCAACACACTAGAAGCAAAGCACCAGCGCCCCCTAGTTTTGTAAGTACTTTAGAACCATTTAGAGCAGCGGTTCTCAACCTTTCTAATGCCGCGACCCTGTAATACAGTTCCTCATGTGGTGGTGACCCCCAACCATAAAATTACTTTCGTTGCTACTTCATAATGGTAATTTTGCTATTGTTATGAATCGTAATGTAAATATCTGATATGCAGGGTGTCTTTTCATTCACTGGACCAATCTGGACACAAATACCCAATACACCAAAATCTGAATACTGGTGGGGTTGGGGAGGATTGATTTTGTCATTTGGGAGTTGTAGTTGCAAGGATTTATAGTTCAGCTACAATCAAAGAGCATCCTGAACTCCACCAATGATGCACACATAATTCCCAAGATCCAAGAGAAAATACTGGCAGGGTTTGGTGGGCATTGACCTTGAGTTTTGGAGTTGTAGTTCACCTACATCCAGAGAGCACTGTGGTCTCAAACAATGGTGGATCTGGACAAAACTTGGCATGAATACCCCATATGCCGAAATGTGAACACTACTGGAATTTGGGGGAAATAGACCTTGACCTTTGGGAGTTGTAATTACTGGGATTTATAGTTTGCCTACAACCAAAGAGCATTCTGAACTCCACCAGCGATAGAATTGGGCCAAACTTGACACATGGAACCGCCTTGACCAACAGAAAATACTGTTTCTGATGGTCTTTGGCGACCCCCCCCCCCAGGGGTCCCAACCCCCAGGTTGAGAAACACTGATTTAGAACCATGGATTGCCCATGCCTAATATCCAGCTCCCAGGGTCAAGGAGACTTCTTTATGTATGCATGCATCTCAGTGTAGTCTGAGGATAGTTTATTACATTTTTGCAGGTGTGAATACTGCTGCATTAAGTTCATAATCAAGTAATTAAATTTAGAAAACAATGCATTGGATTTTTCACTGAAAAATTCAGTAGCAGTTTTTATTCTGCTCTTCCGCTTTGTTTTTGTTTCTCCAAAATATTTACTACAGCACTGAACCTGATATCAGGCAAATTTTAATGCAACCTTTTGGGAAATTGCATGTATGCTACACTGCTTTGCAATGTTGTAAAACATTTTGTTATCATTGCTAAAGCAAAACAGTCATGCATTCCTGTAGAGGGAGCTTCAAGCCTGTTGAACTCCCAAGCTTGGGCATCCTAGCTGCAGATATTTGCATTGATAGTTGTTTTTCCCTCCTCTATGTGAGCTTCTTTAGAACCTTTGAGATGTTGCAGTTTTCTGGAATGGATTTTGTGGTTCTCAACGTGGGGTCCCCAGGTGTTTTTGGCCTTCAACTCCCAAAAATCTTAACAGCTGGTGAACTGGCTGCGATTTCTGGGAGTTGTAGGCCAACAACATCTGGGGATCCCAGGCTGAGAACCACTTAGAGGTACCTTGGAAAATACAGTTAAACGTCAGGAGAAATGCCTCTAGAACATGGCTCTATAGCCTGAAAAAACCCACAAGAACCACAGTTAAAATAGTTTGGTTTTAACAAACACCAGGTGAACAAAATCCGTTTTTGAGTGGAAGGAACCAAACAGTAATAATGTGCTCTCTTCAAGCTGTTTTTGATTTATGGTACCTCTAAAATGATACAACAATGGGGCTTTCTTGGAAAGATTCAGATTGGCTTTGCCATGGCCTTCTCCTGCGGATGAGAGAGTGTGACTTGGTTTCATGACCAAGTGAGTCGCCCGTGGTCTGAGAATGGCGGTATAGAAGCATAGTAAATAAATAAATACGTGGGAATTTAGATCCTGGTTTCCTGGATTCGTAGTTCCGCATTCAAACCGCCACACTGTTTTGACTCAGAAATGTAAACATTAGTCCCTTCGATCAATATACTTATGGTATATGGTGATGGAGAAGCTCCAGCTATGTTGTGGTCACCATTATGCTTGGTGCTAGGTCCCCAATCCTTTATGTTTCATGTACTAGGATGAAATAGTTTTATTTTCCCTAGCTGCTGTTGTTTAAAGTATTTTACCTCATTTGTGATCCAATAAAGATTCCCAGGCGTGTTTTTGCAATGGTAAAATTATCTTTATAATTTTTAAAATAAATAAACAAACTTTATTTGTGTACTTCGGGGCGATTTCCAACATATAAGGCAAGCATCCAATTGTCAAGAAAGCCATGCAGACAAATTACATCAAGACAAGCACATCAGACAATATAAAACAACTTAATTTAACTTAATAAACAATATAACAAAAATTAAAGCCTAATAAAATAGAAAAATTTTGCAAAAACACACTCAAAATAATTTTTTTTAAACCAATTGCATTGTAGTTCTATCAGTAGAGGCTCAACTAATCAATGGCCAGGATTACAAAATGGACGTGGCCACTATAAAAGGGCTGGGCAAGACATAGTGCAAACAGTGTATCACAGGGCTGCAGAAGTCGAAGAAGTGCAGGACTGAGTACTATCTGGCTACCTAGGGACGGAGCCTAGGGACTAGGATCCAACACAGCTGGGACCAGGGTTATGGGGTGAGATAGGGGATTATGGGAGGGTAGTTATAGGATGAGAGAAAGCGTGGGAAAGAATGGTAAAGGAAAAAAAGAAACACAACGGGGCTGGAGCTGTGAAAAGACTACATGTATGTATATGTGTAGGATATGCATTAGTTCAGTATCAGCAAAGGTGAGTCAAAGATTATACCGAAAAGCAAGAATGGGCAGGAAAGATGCAATTTGAGAGATAAAGGGCATGGTTATAAAAGATTATATACTTGGCATTCCCTTTTGCTAGCCTTAGACAAAAGGCCTTGGAATCCCTTTGTTTGTAGGTCATTGACTGGTATGGGGGGCAGTTAGCACAGTCGTTAACTCATGGCTTAAGCTGTTTGCTTAGGTAGGCCAAAGGTCAAATGCCTTTTGTGACAATTACAGTAAACTCCAGTAAATATAGCAGTTACCTTCTGCTATTAAAATATGAAATATAGGACATAAAATCTTAATTAAATGTATACACCATCCTTGTTGTGGTTGCTAGTCCTTTTGCAGATTGGTCAAGACTTAACTCTTATTGCATCATTCCAGCTTGGTGTCCTTGGCAGAACTATGAATTCCCGGATTATAAACTATCTTTTATTTCATCCTTGACTACATTTATAGCTAAGAAATTCTGTCCCACAGTTTTCAGAAAGAGGTTTCTTCCACAGCAGGACTTTTTGTTTATGGGCAAAGTGACCATAGTTTAGTTACTTGAGAGCACTCTAGGAATATTTGAGACAGGTGTTGAACAAGAGACTCATACATTCATCAACCCCAAACAGTTCTGGCCCAGTTTATTTGTCTGAACATATCTCCCTCTATGAACTGTCTCAGAGATTAAGATATTCTGGGGAGGTCCTGCTCTTGATCCCACCTCCTTCACAGGTGAAGTTGGTGGGAATGAGGGACAGGGCCTTCTCAGTGGTGGCCCCTCGGCTATGGAACTCCCTCCCCAGCAAGATCAGATCAGCACCCTCCCTCTTGACCTTCAGGAAGCAAGTAAAAACATGGCATTGGGACCAAGCTTTTGGCCATAAGTAAACTATGTGCAATAATGACCAGAACTGCCTTTGACTATGTCCTCAGATTAAGTGATTTTAAAATTGTGTTTAATGTTTTATTGTCTATTTTCTGTTGTCTGTTGGTTGCATCAAATTGCTGCCAATTGTAAGAGTGCTCTGAGTCTCTTTTGGGGTTGAGAAGGAGGGATATAAATATAGTTAACAACAACAACAACTATTATTATTATTATTATTATTATTATTATTATTATTATTATTATTATGCAAGCCGCTTGTGCCTTCATTAATATTACTTACTCATCTTAACTGACAACAGAAATAATATCTGGGGGCAAAATCAACTCTTAACACTGTCATCTTTCTTTTGCAGTATGATTTTAAACATCTTTGCAAGATAAAGAAGCCATCGCAGCTTGAATGATATTTCGTGCTTTAGTTGGCCCAATAAAATTATCAGTGTTTTTTGGATTCTGTATTTTGTTAAAACATTTGTAATTCTTTTACAGGTAGACGACCCATACTCTGTGAAGATAAAAGATAATCCAGTTGCCTTTCAGCCGCTATGATGAATCAGGTGGTGTCTTATTTTCAAATATGTGCCGCATTTATCTTTTAAAGCCATGTCTCACTCATATCTGGAGTCCATTTGAGACATCTTTTGTTAGATGTTTAACAAAAAAAGAAAAGAAATACTACTACAGACATTTTTTTTGTTGTGTCAGGAGAGACTTGAGAATCTGCAAGTCACTTCTGGTGTGAGAGAATTGGCCGTCTGCAAGGACGTTGCCCAGGGGACGCCCAGATGATTTGATGTTTTATCATCCTTGTGGGAGGCTTCTCTCATGTCCTCGCATGAGGAGCTGGAGTCGATAGAGGGAGCTAATCTGCCTCTCCCCGGATTCGAACCTGCGACCTGTCGGTCTTCAGTCCTGCCGGCACAGGGGTTTAACCCACTGCACCAATAAAATATTAAAAATAGGGATAAAATCCTACACCATACAAAAAGAAGAGCAGTTAAATATGTTTTAATAAGCTTTTAATCCAAAGCGAAATGTGTGAAATGAAATAACCAGGTCAGGTGAGCTTTCCTAAGTGAACAAAACATGTTGAGCTTTTGAGAGACAACTTGAAGGCTGCTTCCAAAATGCACCCAGGGATAAATTTCCATTTGGGTAGCCAAACTTGCAGTATATATATATTCCTTTTTGCATGGTGGGGTTTGGGTTTGGTGAGGCAAGCTTCTCTGCTTTCCTCTTCCCTCTCCGCTTTGGTGTTTGTGTACGCTCAGCCTGTTGTAGGCAGGCATTGGCTACAGCAGAATCCTTTCTTTTCCCAGTGCAAGTTTTACTGGAATGTTTATTACAGATACAGTACTGAAGTCTTGCATTGAAGGACTGTTTTTCCAGCTCCCCGTTACTATATTCCCAGTGCCAATGCTGCTAAAAAATCCAGCTAAACAGAGGACAAGAAGTAAAAGGACTGGGAGCTTGTAAAAATGCCTTCTAACTTAATTTAAATGTTATTTAAATTAAGTTGTTCCCTTTTATAACTGATTCAATCACTGTTTCCTAGCAATGCATGCTTATGTTTCCTTTGTTGACAGAATAACAGATTGACCCTGACCTTTTAAAAATGTGTCTCCCCCCCCCCCCCTTTACTCAGGTTGAAAGGAACGACTGGCCGGATACCTCTACCGCCGTCCTTCTCTACTCCTTCCTGCAGCACTCCAGCGACTGCGCCTTTGTTTCAGACCTTAATTGTTTGAAGAATGAGTTGTTGCTTTCCAAAATAAGTGATGATGATGATGAACTTCAGACAGATGGGAATAGATGTGGGAGATTCGAAGTCAGAGAGGAAGGTAAATATCGACTTTAGTCTTCAATCCTGCAGCTTTGAGAGCACTCCTGGGTTCTCCGGCAGAAGGAAATTGGCTTTCTTTCCTCATAGACAGTGATTCCCAACCTTTTTATGAACAGGGGCCACTTTGACCAGGGACCACTCTCTAATACTAGTACGAAAAGGGTTATGAATCAGTTTTTGGTCAGCTTTAGATTTGGTTTGGTTATTTATATATTTATTTATTTCCTGCATTTCTATCCTGTTCTTCTCAACCCCTGAAGGGGGACTTACAACGGCTTACAATGGGCCCTGTTACGAGGCCATTACATTACATTACATGTGGTGCAGTTGCCTGGGTGTAGGCTGCATTAAGATCACTATTAACCGAAAGGTCATGAGTTCGAAGCCAGCCCAGGTTGGAGTGAGCTTCCAGCCAATTTGTGTAGTTTGTTGTTGACCTTTGCAATGCGAAAGACAGTTGTATCTGTCAAGTAGGAAATGTAAGTGCCACCTATGTGTGGGGAGGCTAATTTAACAAATTTACGAGGCCATAACAATTCTCCAGTAAAAGCATGCGGAGAATGCGGAAAGTACTTCATCAATGTCGCAGATGGATGATGAAGCAACAGCTCCCCTGATGGCCAGAAAATTGGAATGTTAAATAGCCTTTGACTGTCTGTCTATATGTGTTGAGTGTCTATGGCATTGAATGTTTGCCATGTATGTGTACATTGTAATCCGCCCTGAGTCCCCTGCGGGGTGAGAAGAGCGGAATATAAATACTATAAATAAATAACAATTACAGTAGTTAAAACCACAATTTGGGGTGCTAATTCAGGAAATTGCACTGGATAAACCATATCAGCTCTAGCTTCTGTTACAGAACATACCTCATCCAGTAGTTGCCATCTGCTCACCCACAGAATACCATATTTAATAATTTAGAGCTAATGTGGTAGTAGTAATCTTTCATGGGTAGTCAGCCTCCCCTTTCCTGATATCCGTGTTGCCTCGACACTCTTAAGAGGGTTTTGCGAGGCCAGTTGCTCTCGTTGCCATATGGTTTCGAGACAACAGTGTAATGGTGAAGCCGCGGACCATATTTTATTTTTTTATTTATTTCAAACATTTGTACCCCACCCTTCTCAACCTCCCCGGGGGGGGGGGGGGGGGGCGCTCAGGGTGGCTTACATCTGGCACAATTTGATGCCATTACATATAAATAACACATACCGTAATACATATAAAAACACGGTAAATTGATTTCAAAATTAGTTTTAAAATAAAAAGTACAGTAATGAAAAGTGCAATAATACCGACTATCTAGCCTTAGGTAGAAACAAATATTATACTATATTTTCGTTCTTGTGGACCACTTGTGGTCCATGGACCACAGGTTGGGAACCACTGTAGAGAGAGCTCTGAGAAGGTGCATCCAGTGATGCTAATGTCTGGAGGGTAAAAACATGCATTACAATACATCTGGAAGGCGCTGCTTTCCTAGCACAAAGATGAGCTAGTATGGAATTGTACATTATTCTGGAGAGATTAATCTCTGTGAACATCTGCGGCATTTAAGAAAAATAAGGGATGCTGTATTTATTGGGGGAAGGCTTTGTTTTTCATTAGTTGGGGGAGAAGAAGATTGAGTTATTTACGCTTACTATACTGTCATCCTATCATTCTTGTTAGGTGATGATATCTGGTTTCCTCTTTCTCCCATCTCTGTGCTCATGCTTTCTTCACAACAGGCCATTGGGGTGCACTAGACTGAGAAATAGAGTCTGAGCCAATAGACTCCCCCCCCCCCCCCAAATGCTGGCTTTGCCCTTTTCGGAAGGCAAGGGTGGGGGAAGAGAGGCTTTCATTCTCCTTTAACTCTCTTTTCTCCAATCGTGTATCCTGGTGCAGTGCCTGATGAGGAAATTTTCCGGATTATCGGAGCTCAGCTGGCTGAAATCGGGGATAAGCTGACTGCTGAGATGGAGGCATCAGTCATACAGAATCTGGCACAGCGTTTTATGAGAGAGAACATGTCCAAAGAGGTGAGGTCTGAGAAGGGCGGTATACAAATATAGTAAATAAATCAATACATTCGTAAACCACTGTTTAAAGTCAAAACACAATAAAACTACTTAACAGTGACCCCCCACCCCAACATCCTCTGCAAGGCAGAACGTTTTTTGTTTTGTTTTGTTTTTTTCATGTCAGGAGCGACTTGAGAAACTGCAAGTCACTTCTGGTGTGAGAGAATTGGCTGTCTGCAAGGATGTTGCCCAGGGGACACCCCGAATATTTGATGTTTTACCATCCTTGCAGGAAGCTTCTCTCATGCCCCCGCATGGCAAGCTGGAGCTAAGAGAGGGAGCTCAATATGCTCTCCCTGGATTTGAACCGCTGACCTGTCAGTCAGCAGTCCTGCTGGCACAAGGGTTTGACCAATTGTGCCACCTGGGGCTCAAGGCATCAGATAATCTGTAAGGACTGTAAAGGAGTCAGCAACTGAAAAGTGGCTCAATTGAGAGCCTTGAGCATCTTAGGCAGAGGTCAGTGTGGTTCTGATACAGGAAAGGAATGCAACTGGGCTCAGGGTAAACTTCAGCAAAGTCAGCAGTAAGGGATTCCTGCCATGCTCATCAGATTCCTGGCTATTTGACTAAATCAGGGGTCAACTGTTTATTATTCAAGGTTTGATGCTCAGGCAAATATTCAAATTCCATATTATATTCATGTGCTATTGCTTTTACTCTAGAAATTTATGGGATTTCTTGTTTTGCATTCTCATTATAGTTAGCTATCTTATTAACTTTGGTTATCCTCCAGAGCACCTAATATTTATTTGTTTTATTTATAATGCTTTATTCCACACAAATAGAAAACTCAGAGCAGCTTTGATGAGGCT